GCTTTATGATAACTTTCTGACTCCTACACATGATAACGCCTAGTGTTGTATCTATTTGGAATTATAGGAGTTGTTGTAGCTCTAAGGATGGACTTAAACCGATGTCTTGGGAGAATTAACTACTACAAAAACTGTTTAGGTTTAACAGAGTCCTGTAATAATGAAGTGAAAGTATAAATAAAGCCTGGGAACCTAGACTGACCCCTTTACAATACAATTCAAAGGGAATATTGACCAGGTTTGTAGACTTCAACTTTGATGTATGTCATGTTTGTCTGCAAAGTCCTGCCATCTTTTAGAAAATATAGTGGAGGAGGTGGTGGACCTCTACAAACAGTTATAAAAGGCCTTGAAGTGAGGGACTGTACTGCCCCTCCTTCCCTATTCCCACACACTTTAGGATATTCTGAACTGCAACTGGAGAGGGTTCCTTGAGGGTGTTTAAGTAAACTATCTGGAAAATTTCTTACAAAATCTCCTCTGAGATACATTTCATGGGGCTCAAAGTGCTATTTATTTTCAAACTTGTACATAGATCACACTTCACTGCTTCTAAAGTGACCTCAGCCCTGTTACAACACAAAACTCTTAAAATTGTTCTTTACAGTTTGTTACGCAAAGTGGAGATGAGAAAGCAGGACTGACATTACAAAATCAGAATTGCCCTGAACTCTTCAGATGAGCCAAACCTGTGTCCATGCTGAAGTGCAACTGCAAGCCAAACCACCATGTACATGCAAGAGGGAAACATAGTGGTAAGGAAACACATTCCATTATCAAGCTGCTAAAGGATTTTTATAAAAAAGTAATGCATGTGAAATATCATGATAGCTTTCTTTTAAAAGGGTAATGTAAAGTTAAAAATCCATTTAAATTTGCCTTCTGTGTTTACTTCTTGAAGTGTTCAAGCTGAAAGAATATGAAAAGCTTTAAAATCATTTTAATATTAACTCCTTAGACTTGGTTGATGTTGAACATATAAAACAGATCCATGCATTTCTCTTTTGCATATAGTCTGCTTCACTTTCTAGTTCTATTAAGATGTTGCACTGTTTGCCTTGCAAACACTGTATGGGACCATTGTTCCTTTAAAATATTGGTTTAGGTCTAATTAGACTAGGGAATTGGTCTCTTTACTCTACAGTAGGCATATCAGCAGATCCACCAGCTTGCTCAGGTCTCCCAAATATTTCTTCCACTACCATCTCACAACTGTAGAAAATTGTTTAGATTTTTGGGGGTAGATTTAACTGGACAGGGAGTTTTAAAATATATAGGGAAGATTGAGGAGAACCTGGAATTTTTGTCTAAATATGCCACACACAGTTCTTTGAAGCCAAACTGCCTATGATGATGATCTAGTCAGAAGAATTCATACTGCACTTAATAAATAGTAAAGTGGGGGGAGGGAATCAATCTATAGTTACTGTGTCACAGTGAACATTTTTCATAATTCTCAAATGACAGGATAAATTTATCTTGGCAGAATATATGACCAAAATCCAGTGGATAATTTAGTAACTGAGAAGAGCAGAATCAGGATTTTCTTTCCGTGGGCCAAAGCAGACATGCGGCGGCACATAAATGGAACAGTGGCATATGCTTAATGTTAAAAGAAGATATTTTGCCTTGTGCTAAGTACACTGGAGAAAAATGTTTCAAAGTAGTTCTTCCTGATGCAAAATCACTGCTGCAAATGAATTCAAAGTCTTCTTGAATATGCTGCATCAAGGTTTTTAGAAAGTCTTGGTTTATAAGAGCACAATTATTTCCAAGACTTATAGATCAAAGCTGTTGGGACCCTGAACAACAAATTTTGCTACCAGAGGAAGAGTTAACTATTGTGAGTAATTCCATCATAACCAGGATAACTTCTTCCAGGGTCTGGAGTGGGTTGGGCACACACACAAACGGACATGCTCATATTGTAAAACGGGCTTTCTTGGTCACACAAACAGATGGTTTTTAAGATCCAATAGAAGAACCATGAAAATAACTAAAATGGTAATTAAAATGGGCCAATTAACAATAAACTAAAGTGGATACAAAATGCATAGAATTCACTGTTCAGGTCACATAGAAAGTACATGGAAGAGATGAGAACAGGACTGAGGGTACGTCTAGACTACACGCTTTTGTCGACAGAAGTTTCGTCGACAGATACTGTCGACAAAGCTTCTGTCGACAAACAGCGTCTAGACTATATTCAGTTCTGACAAAACCCTATAGTCTAGACACAACCCTACATGCAATAACACCTTCTGTCAACAGAACTCTGTCGACAAAAGGCGTTATGCCTCGTAAAATGAAGTTTACCAGTGTTGACAGAACTCAGCGGTAGTGTAGACGCAGGTATAGTTTTGTCGACAAAAGTCCACTTTTGTCGACAAAACTCTGTAGTCTCGACATACCCTGAGTTGAAGTGTATTCAGGGAGATTAGAGCATTTCGAACACTTCACCTACTTACTGTGAAGAAGTCAATCAGCAAGAAGTGTTTAATTGCAATAGCCTTCAGATATGGTTTCTCCAAAAAAAGATCATTAACTTGTTACATCTTGTGTTGAAAGGGTAAAATGCAGTGTACAAAGAAACCATACCAATATAAAATCTCAAGAGCCTATAGCAGGCTCAAAGATGATCAATACAAAGATGTCCTAACCACTAAAACTCCATACCAAAGAGAACAATATGTGTGGAAGATGAAATAGTGAAAAGTACAGGATCAGCTGGGTAAAAAGTAACTGGGGTTATTTAGAACAAAGGGCAGTTTATCATGTTTTATGACATTAATCCTTACCTTAGAGATATATTTATCTAAAACTATGGTCACACTAGTATTTCAGTATACCTATTCCAAACAACTTCCTACACACAACTTTATATTAACATATTTATTATGCAGAACAAATGCTAAGCATTCACAATTCATGATTTGTATCCTGACTGGTGTTTACACCATGGAATGAATCTGTTTTATAATATGTACGGTATGTCTGATCCTCCTTTCAATTACACACATGAACATCAAAATTAAATCTAGACCATTATACTGATGTAAAACTAGTGTCTATAAGAAGAAAACTAGGTCTTCTATAAGGATGCATTCACTGAATAGATTTTTTTTAATGTTAATTGGTGCCAGCTTAAAATGTAAGTGTGATTTTTGGGGTACAGTAGTACATGTTATTTGTAGGTGTTATATAATGAATTTAAATAGATGAATTAAGTTAATTTAAATATGTGACAGTAGGAACACGGTGCTGTCACTAAAAATCACTAGCTCTTTGCCATGAATGTGCCTTTCAGAGAGTTAATGGAATCTTGCAATTGTTGCTTTGTGAGGTTTCTAAAGAGCTGCATGGACTTTGTGCTAAATGCTCTAGAGAGGCAAAGTGTGCGTTTCTGCAAATTATACTGTCAGCAAATGGCATGGCAAGGGAAAGATGGAAAGAAGATAAATACATTTTTCTTACCTGAATATGTTGAACTACCCAAAAGAATGACGAGGATTATTCTATATAAAGACTAACACGTTTTAAATCTATTTTCTGTTCCATGATATGCACTGAACTACTCTAATTCTTAACACCCTGATTTTAAGGCTATTAATATGTGAGACAATATTTTGATCACTACCACGTATGCTCTTTGAGATGAATGCTTTCCATTAGACACACCTTTTTCTTTACTGATTATACGGTGTGAATTGAGGGTTGTGTTCGAATCCCTCGCTCCTCTCGGATTAATTTGCCACAGTCTAACTCCGTAGATAAGGTGGTTCCAGAGGTGGAGTTGGATGGATGGGTTTGCTTACATTGTAGTCCATAAAAGAAACAAAAAGCCTTGCATGCAGAGGAAAAAAATGGAGAAAAACGGATAAGTGAAATAACAAAAAATATGAAAATGAGAACTCTAAATTTAAAATAAAAATTCTATTATGGAAATAAAAAAGTCACAGATTATATGCAATTTATAGTTTATATTATCTTTATGGTGCTATACTTTCTACACTAGTTTGAAGATACTATATAGACTTCTCATTGCCCTTTAAGAAAAAAAATCAGAGCAGAAGTTGTATTGAAATGCGCTGTATTCTTCTTTTTAAACAATCACTTCCCACAGATATATTGCCATTTCACTCTAATGCTGTTGAAGATTTTCATTATGATGCGACAGACTCTAATCTACTGCATGTTACTGTGATACAGTAGCAGGATTTTCACATAGACTGAACTTGGCACAGCCGATTCACATGGGTATTCACCCAAATTCATAGCGCACTGAGACTCCTGCCCCCCAGCTTCCTCCCTCCACACACACAAGGCTGCACTGGCAGCTCCTGGGAGTAGGCCAGGGGAATGGGCAAGGGGAGGCAGGGAGCCTACCAACTGCCAATCATGATTGACTGGGAGACTACCCAGGATTGCCCAGTTGATCGTGCTCAACAAGTGGGTGACCACTGCTTTAGAGAAAGAGGAAATTGCATGTGTGGAGACAGAACAAGTAGATTGCTTCCATTCCCAAAGGGGTAATGCTAAAGCTATGTAGAGAGCTGTAGCTTTGTTTTTATTCCTTTCCAATTCATCTATTCAAAATGTTAAGACCAAGCAACAACTCTTCAAGAATTAACTACACTTGAAATTTATGCCTAGTCCTACTATGCAGCGCTAATCAGCTTGAGAGTGAGATACTTCTCTCTTCTCATTTAATAAACATATGCAACTTTTGTGCCAGGAAATCGTGGCAAAGGTTCAAGAATCCAAACACCTGAATAGACTCTTAATGGTTCAGCCTTCTATGCCTTGGCCACCCCAGGCCTAAAAATACCAAAACAGAAATGAGTTGGCAATAGGACTCACCTGTTCAATATCGCTGTTTTTCCTTGATTTATATATAAATTCTCCAATGGCTACAAACACTGAAAGAACAAGTCCAGCAGCAAGCACTATAAAGATGCCCCCAATATTCTCAACCCCCAGAGCACTGGCCTCTTTGCTGTCCTCCTCAGGGCACCCGTTACCCCGCCACCACTTTTCTTTCATCATGTGCAGTTTCCCCTCCTCCTGTAGCTGGAGAATGGCAATAGTAATTTTGTCTCTGTAAGGAGACCCTGTTGATCAAGAAATAACCGGTTAGTATTTGTTGCAGGATTTGAGTGTTGGGGGTAGCGGGTGGGAATGCACCTTTGAGACAAAAATGCACCCTTATAAAAATACAAATTATTCCTGATTATAACCAAACGAGTTTTGTGCATGACTGCTCTTGTTTGGATTTCTTTCTATTCCAATAGCACTAACTAGTGAAATTTGCACTGGTGACTGACAAAAGAGAGGGATCTTTCTGCCTAGATGTTCATGTGGGAATGCATTAGGATTTCTGTGGATGCCTATAATGGCTTTGGCCAAACCACTGCATTGCAATAGATCTTCACCTAAATTCTTTTAGTGTCTGAGCATTTCACATTCTCCTGGAGATGCTCTGCTTTCACAGCTACTCAGTACACTTCAAGCTTTTACCACTGCATTTAAACCTAGCACAACCTTAGGAAAATGTATAGTGAGTTAAATAAGTTCCAGTCTTGGTTATATCTTTGCATCCTTATTTATGCCAACTGCGGTGGGCTGTTATCAGAGCTGAAGCTGGCCTTGTATTTTCTTTACAATCTGCAAAGTGTCGCCAAATATAGGTACAGGTAGCAAACTAACCACATAACACGCATTGTCATCACAGGTGGCTCATGGTAGCACTCTGGAGGTACACTACCCCCTGTGGCCCCCTGATTTCCTGCACCTCCTCCACCCTAGGCACCAGTCATTCATGCGTGTTATACTGTCAAATCCAGGGCCGGATTTAGGCTGATTACCCTGAATCGGGCCCCATGCCTAAGAGGGCCCTGCTCCCGGGCACACAGCGCATGTCTGGCCCCCGCCCCTGCGAATCGGGCCCTGCACTTCCTAAAGCCGGCCCTGGTCAAAGCGGATGATACCTCACAAGCAGAAAATGAAGAACAAGATTTTAGCTGTCTTCCCCCCCACCCCCACTTCTTAAACAGCCAGAACAAAGTAACAATGGAGGAATTAAGCCTAACAGACCAGCAGGAGCTAGCAATGTGAACAGGACTAATTGGCAGCAAGCACAAAATTCCCCAAAGGGTGAAACCAGAAGCCTATGTGGACTAACTTCCTACAATATTTGGAATTTAAACTGTAAGAAGCTTCATATCTTGGGCTGGTTTAGGCTGCAGCTGATGTTGACTTAAAACACTAGGGTTACGTGCAGTTACTGTGGAAGTGTCTGCACATAAATTTCACTCCTGCTGACATAACTGCCCTGCTACGCTGACTTCATAACTCCAGTGGCGTAGACTAAAAATTGATGTAATTAGGTTGGCACAGGGTCAGTGCAGCGACTGTGTGGCTTATGTTGACTGTTAGTGGCTTTCGGGAGTCTTCCCACACTGACAGTACACTCAATACAAATGCTTCTGGTGAGGACACACAATGCTGACACACACAACAAAGTGTAGACACACACAAGTGATATCATTACTGTGGCAAGTATATACTTACATATAGACTCTCAGACTTTAAGGTCAGAAGGGACCATTCTGATCATCTAGTCTGACCCCCTGCACAGTGCAGGCCACAGAATCTCACCCACCCCTCCCAGAATAATCCTCTCACCTATATCTCAGATATTGAAGCCTTCAAATACTTTGAAGACCCCAAGATGCAGAGAATCCTCTAGCTGAGATCTGTACCCCCATGCTACATAGGAAGGCGAAAAACCTCCCGGGCCTCTGCCAATCTACCCTGGAGGAAAATTCCTTCCCGACCCCAAATATGGCGATCAGCTAAACCCAGAGCATGTGGGCAAGACTCATCAGCCAGACACCCAGAAAGTTCTCTAGTAATTCCTATCATCCCTCCATTGACCTATAATGAATGGTCAATTAGTTACCAAGATCATGTTATCTCATCAAACCATCCCCTTCATAAACCCATCTAGTTTAATCTTAAAGCCAGATAGATCTTTTGCCCCCACTACTTCCCTTGGAAGGCCGTTCCAGAATCTCACTCCTCTAATGGTTAGAAACCTTCATCTAATCTCAAGTCTAAACTTCCTACTAGCCAGCTTATATCCATTTGTTCTTGTGTCCACATTGGTATTAAGCTTAAATAATTCCTCTCCCTCCCTGGTATTTATCCCTCTAATATATTTAAAAAGTGCAATCGTGTCCCCCCTCACCCTTCTTTTGGTTAAGGTAAACAAGCCAAGCTCCTTGAGTCTCCTTTCATAAGACAGGTTTTCCATTCCTCGGATCATCCTAGCGGCCCTTCTTTGTACCTGTTCCAATTTGAATTCATCCTTCTTAAACATGGGAGACCAGAACTGCACATAATATTCCAAATGGGGTCTCACCAGTACCTTGTATAATGGCACTGACACCTCCTTATCCCTACTGGAAATACCTCACCTAATACATCCCAAGATCGTATTAGCCTTTTTCACGGCCATGTCACAATGGCAGCTCATAGTCATTCTATAATCAACCAGGACTCCGAGGTCCTTCTCCTCCTCCGTTACTTCCAACTGATGTGTCCCCAGCTTATAACTAAAATTCTTGTTATTAATCCCTAAATGCATAACCTTACACTTCTCACTATTAAATTTCATCCTATTGCTATCACTCCAATTTACAAGATCATCCAGATCTTCCTGTATGATATCCCGATCCTTTTCTGAATTGGCAATAGCTCCCAACTTTGTGTCATCCGCAAATTTTATCAGGACACTCCCACTTTTGGTGCCAAGGTCAGCAATAAAATGATTAAATAAAATTGGCCCCAAAACTGATCCCTGAGGAACTCCACTAGTAACCTTCCTCCAACCTGACAGTTCACCTTTCAGTATGACCCGCTGTAGTCTCCCCTTTAACCAGTTGCTTATCCACCTCTCAACTTTCATATTAATCCCTATCATTTCCAATTTAACCAATAATTCCCCATGTGGTACTGTATCAAATGCCTTACTAAAGTCGAGGTAGATTAGATCCACTGCATTTCCTTTATCTAAAAAATCTGTTACTTTCTCAAAAAAGGAGATCAGGTTGGTTTGGCATGATCTACCTTTTGTAAAACCATGTTGTAATTTGTCCCAATTGCCATTAGCCTCAATGTCTCTAACTACTTTCTCCTTCAAAATTTTTTCCAGGATCTTACATACTACAGATGTCAAACCAACAGGCCTAAAGTTACCCGGGTCGCTTTTTTTTCCCTTTCTTAAAAATCGGAACTATATTAGCAATTCTCCAGTCAAATGGTACAACCCCTGAGTCTAGAGATTTATTAAAAAATTTTGCTAATGGACTTAAATTCCTTTAATATTCTTGGATGAAGATTATCTGGGCCCCCCGATTTACTCCCAGTAAGCTGTTCAAGTTTGGCTTTTACCTCGGATATGGTAATATCTACCTCCACATCCTTAGTCCCATTTGTTATGTTACCATTATCCCTAAGCTCTTCATTAGCCTCATTAAAGACTGAAGCAAAGTATTTGTTCAAATATTGGGCCATTCCTAGATTATCCTTAACCTCCACTCCATCCTTAGTAATTAACGGTCCTATTTCTTCTTTTTTTTTTCCTATTTATATGGCTATAAAACCTTTTACTATTGGTTTTAATTCCCTTTGCAAGGTCCAACTCTACCTCTGACTTTTAGGCTTTCTTACTTTGTCCCTACATACTCTAACCTCAATAAGGTAGCTTTCTTTACTGATCCCTCCCATTTTCCACTCCTTATAGGCTTTCTGCTTTTTCTTAACCCCCTCTCTGAGATGCTTGCTCATCCAGCTTG